CAACTATTGAAAAAGCCAAGATGGTTTGTCCAAACATTTACATTAGCAGGTGGGGAGGGAGAAGAATTGAAGAGAGAAGGACAGAACAGGGAGGTAAGCCAGTCCCTGAGGGAGGAAAAGTGAATATGCAATTATTTAAACAACAAAAGTGGAGCAAAATTCTGCTAGATGTCCAATAAATTCATAATCTGTGTAGTTCAATTTCTAATTTTGTATAGAAACTTCAAGAAATGCCTTCCTTTGAAATAAATGTAGTAAGCAATAATCAGTAAAATATTTACAACTTTTAAAAACATGCAATCAGCCGGGCCAGTGTGCTCAGTGATTGAGTGTTGATCTATGAACCAGGAGGTCACGGTTCAATTCCCGGTCAGGGCACATGCCTGGGCTCGATCCCCAGTGTGGGGTGTGCAGGAGGCAGCCAATCAATGTTTACTTCTTTTATTGATGGTCTCTCTCTCTCTCCCTCTCCCTTCATAAAACACACACACATACACACACACACACATTCAATCAGGTCAGACAGACTTGACTTACTTTTAATATTTGAACTGCATAATTTGTTGAATTGGGGAGTGGGGGGAAACAATGATCTAAACTGAATTCTACTAAAATATCTCAGACAGGGTCTCAATCAATCTAATTCGCAGGTTTAATTAAAATTGGCCTAATATGAGCAGTGCCAGATGGATTAAAAAGTGGTTCTGAGATCACAGTGGAAAATGACAAAGGGAAACATGTCAAATGGGAGGAGGGTCTGCTGCATGTGCCAGGGTTGGTACTGAGTATGACTTTAATTAACACATTCCTTAAACGATAAGAGAAATGTAAGTTAATATCAGATAAGTGGAATTCCCTTGAGATAAATAAGAGAAATTTTAAACAAAAAAATAATTACAGAAAAGTGGAGCCCTGGCTGTAAAACAGAACTTATTGTTACTGTTGTTGTTGTTATTGTCATACTCCTCAAATATTCTTTTCTTATGTCCATCAATCTTATTGCTTCAATAAAACATGACAAGTTCAGGTGAGCTCCAGCAACGTGGCTTGGCTCAGCTTCATCACTGCAAATCCTTACCCCTACCAATCCTCACGAGTCATCTGGGAAAGCACAACGCACAACACTGAAACAAAGGCTGGGTGAGACAGCAACGTGCTCTGTGAAGAGAGCTTGGAACATCTGAACCAAACAGGAAGACTGCAGTGAAAGGAAAGATTTAGAACTCCTATGATAAAACTTCATTACAATTCAATCAACAAATATTCATGAGTGCCTTCTCTCCATATAAGGAACACATTCATAGTAAATGGCACATCCATAGCACAGTCATAATATTAATAACTTTCCATAAAGCAAGTTTTCAAAGGAGTTTCTTTTAACATAGTCATTTTTTCCCCAGTTTAGACAAAATTCAGAAACACATTTGCTTGCACAATTCCAATGAGAAGTACCTTATGTTGACACGGACCTTTGGAAAAAGAATGAAATCACTGTGTTCTATGTTGGAAAGAAATTTTTAAAGGCAGACATATGGCTGATTCAGATGACTCGGGAATTTATACAACTTAGATTCTACCTACCTACCAAACACTATGGTAGATATGTTCATATAGTTTTATTACCAAGGCATATGCACATGCATTTTCATTACATTAGTAAGTTATAACACCCCAAGTTAAGATTCCTGACAGAAAAATGGCACAGCATTTGACTGCTAATCTACATAGCAGGCAAAGCTTTGGAAATCCTAATAGCTCTGAGCTTAAAACCTCAAGCCCTCTCACTGATAGATGAGGACAGTTGGTATGAGTCTTAACCCAGGAATTACTGTGGCTTTTAAAATATTAGCTATCTCTTGCTCTGAATAGTACTATTCGATGGTTTCTCTAAAATACAGTCAACTTCTTACAGCACTCCCAACACACAAAAATACAGATCTTTTACCTTTTGTTTGACTGTAACAAAAGAAAACCCAGTTTTAAGCAGCACACAAGATAATCTACAATGGAGGCAATCTCTCAAGATTTGAGCAAAGAAAAATTAAGAGGGAAAACCTTGAGGAGACAGTAATTGGGCCACTGGAGTTTCTTGTCACTAATTATCCCACAGTGGCCATTAGCTATGTAACCAAGGAGGAAAGTGTGTCAGACTTCAGTGAAGCTGTGTCCTCAGCATCTTATGGAATGCACCCTAAAGCCACTGTGTAATTAACTGCCAGGAAAATGCTGAGTGAGTAGAATAAAGAAGCTATAACAAATCAAATATACTGCACAGTTCAACCCCCAATGACAGCAGTTGAACTTAGATTCTAGAACTTCAAAATACTCATGAGCATACATTCCCTTTTCAGAAACTCTAGAAGGCAGATTTTTGGTTGAGTGAAGAAGCAAAAATACAGACTACAAAAGAGGTTTAAAATTATAGAAATTCAGCAATACGATTTACCTTACCATGCTGTCCTTTACAATGTTATAGGACTTACTATCAGTGATTCTCAGAGCCTGGGCCACAAGGAACCTACAGGGCTTTTCTGAAAATCTAAGAGCATTATATACGATACTACTGTGATCAAACAGAGAAAACAGAACAAAAAATGAGTGAGCCCGTTAAAGGAAGTTATTGTAGGGTACTCTCTAATACAACCTTAAGATTTAAGATTTTTTTAGTGCAGTGGTCGCCAACCGGTGGTCCGCAGACCACTGGTGGTCCATGAGGTCCGAAAGGTTGGCAACCGTGCATTTTTACCAATCCAACAAATACTTATTGAGCACCTATATGCCTACAGCTAACAAACTCCAATCCCACTTGAACACTGACATTTCAAGGATCAAATAACTAAACATAGACTGAAAAATGTCCATTTGTTTTGTTTTGTTTTGTTTTGGGAACTTAGAAATCAGAGGAAGGTTGTATTTTTAGTGACCAATGAAAGCTCATAAGGCAAGTTATCTTCCAAACCTGGCTGGGCAGAATCATGGAGAACTAAATTCAGAATCTGGAACCTACCAAGATTTACTGAAGCAGACTCTATAGGAGCAGAGTCCAGAAACATGTAATTTTTAAGACTTCCTAGGCTTAGATTATAATCACTAGCCAGGTTTAGAAATCACCATTCTATTGAATATTTGTCTCTCTTAAGAGCCTAAAAGCTAAATAACCCCCATTAAACATAAAATCATAACTAAAAATTCTATATAACTATCTGAAGCCACAATTTTTCATTTTATCAACATTTCCCTCGTTTGAACTCATTACTTGAAAAGAAATGAATATCATTATTTTTAAATACTTTGAGACCCTACATCCACTTGTTGAAATTCTATCCATTTTTCATGACAAATTAAAATGCTATTTCTTCCAAGAAGCCTTCTCTGATCCCTCAGCAGGAACTGGGCCTTCCCCCGTGTCACGCAGCACTTTATGCTTCTTATATTCTGTCTTGTATTACTCTAGGCTGTCTGCATTGGTCACCCTGACAAGGAATTCAATAGATGGGACGTCACCTATTGAATCTCTGAGCTTATTCCAGCATCTCATTCCTTGCTCAAAGTACATGCTCCATAAATATTTGTTTAATTGAACTAAACTTACAAACCAGAAGAGAACTTCAGCCTTTTTTTACTGTCTGAGGGCAATACGAAGAAGCATTGCTAACTTAAGATCCTTGCTGAAAACATTACATTAAATAGCAAATCAACAACCTAAATTAAAAAACAATCACCTTCTAGACATGGTATGTTGGCATTCTGGTTAAACTAAAACACTCAATTATGAGTAAATTGACCATAACAAAAGAAACTATTTATTTCACTTTAAATAAAATCTGAGTCATGTTCTAAGTGTAAGACTGTACACTTTCTCTTTGTTTTGCTTTTCCAAGTATTATAAATACCCAGAGAGTTTAGATGCTACTGCTTCAATACCAGCTCTAAAATGAGACTGGGACTAAGGGCATTTTCCAGAAAAGGAGCTGCACATGAGTCTAAGTGAAAGGAAAATATTCCAAATCCATATTACAAAATATTAATTTATACATTTATCAGAAGTTGTGTAACCGAGGTACCCATCTTATGAAAGGCTGATTTATTTCAGATTAGGCAAGTTTGATTCTGAAAGTTACATCTTCGATTCTTTGGCAGCTGCTACTAGTGTTTGTACAGCCCTTGTCATCACCCCAGATGATTTGATTGACAGGACTAATAGATTTTGTTTTAATTGTAAAAGAAGACAGATGAAAGCTTTTGGCTGGATGACTAACTGTTCATCCTAAGTAATAAACATGCCTACTTCTCTCCCTCCATATTAAAAATCTATTTTTAATTCACTATTAACTAATAACTAGAATTGCAGTAAAAAAAAAAAAAAAGGATGACAATACAAAATTTCATGTGTAACTCTGAATAAATTGTTTTATTTTTCTAACTTTCATACCAATTAGAAATTACTAAATACAAGCACCAGGTGAAATGTAAGTACTTTCCTGGTAGTTTTCTCTTTCCTGCAGCTTCTATGATTCTCAAAATTATACTTAATACAGAGAGAGAGAGAAAGAGAGAGAGAGAGAGAGAGAGAGAGAGAGAGAGAGAGAGAGAGAGAGAGAGAGAGAGAACGAACGGGAACACACACCTTAGCTCTTTGGCCTTCTGGGTCTTTTTGTTTCCCCAAGCAATTGAAAGAAAGCAACTCTAATCCTGTTTTTATAATCATAAAACCAAGAAACACAACAATTTGAACACAATTTTAAGACACACTTGGAAGAGTAGATGCCCTCTGCTTGCTATTATTTTATGTGAATTGATATATACTCAAATGTATAATGTCACATTGTATACAAAAATTATGTAACATATTTACTACTAACCTAATAAAAAGTTCTTTGCAATTAAAATGGTATAAGTAAAGAGAGATCTTACTCTGTTATAGAATTGCAACCTACAGAAGGTAGTACTATTATGACCAATAACCAAGTGTTCCTGAAAGAGCCACATTTCCTATTTACCTTACAAAGCAATCGATAAAGATGCTATAAGACCTCTTCCATCCTTTTGTCCTATATCAGCAAACCACAGGAAAGGAATACGGCATATCCATTCTGTTCCATCCTAGATGCACACACCCAAAAGCATGCTATGATGCTTTGTTTTTCAAAATTAAACAAGTAAAACTTCAACTCTGGAAAACTGATTTGTCTCAATCTAAGAAAAATAAGTAATAAAGTGAGATCTTCAAAAAGAATTGTTTTTATTCCATTTCACCTGGTAATTTATTGACTTTTTGAAGAAAAATACAAAAAAGCTATATCATATTTCTCTGATGACTCATGAGGTTGGAATGTTCCATATATATATATATATATATATATATATATAATATATATATGAGCAATAATTATTCATTTATGGCTGATTATCTGCTTAAGGAAGAAATACCATTTACACAAGAACTGGTGAAACTATATAACTGTTTAAGGCATTTATCAAAATGCCAACAGTTGCTACTTCAAATCAAAAGGAACTATAATAAATAACTAGTCAAGGAAATAAACAAAGAACAAGAAATCTGGTCTCATATAAGCTTCAAACAGATTTGATGAGGATGTTATAGTCACCAGTTGTATTTATCTTAAAAAACTCCAATTATTTTTAAGAGAAAAATAGAGGAGTAAATGAATGTAAGTATCTCTGTCAAGTCAGCAAAACACAAAATGTTATGCTCAACACAATATAAGTAATAATGTAATGCTCAAAAACATTAAATCTATTTTCCTCTCACTTTCTATTTGAATGGCCTCTCTGCTAAACAGCTTTGATGAGTAGTAAGAATCCCATATATAAATGGGCAGATGTATGGATGGATGCCTTTCAGGGGTTAATGTTCAAAAACCTATTTCGGAAATACATAAGTCAACACTGCAAACACTTTATTTTCACTTGTGACTTTAAAATCTCATATAAATTCTATGTGGTCTGCACCTTTTACAACTCAATAACATTACATAAGTTAAATTTTACCTATGCTTCTATAAGAAGCTTAAAAGTATTTTAAAACTCAGAGAGAAAGCCCTTATTTCATAAACACTAAAGGTCTAATTTTATTTGAAAATGCAATGATATATTTTAAAAATGTATTTTAACATTAACAATTCCTATCAATGGATAATACAAATTGTGATTTTATTTCCAGTCATCTAGATCTTTAGTCAAAATAATAAAAGCATAGTTCTGTTTTTTTAATGAAGAAATACAGATATTTCATACCATGTATCTGAGATGAAAAAGAATCCAGAGGAAGAGTCAAAAACTTAAAACTTTTAGATCTCTGGCATGCCTAAAGATCTCTGAATCATTCTAACTCCCCACATTTGCAAAAGATACTTCAGCATATAGCTTCCCCACAAATTCATAAAAATATAACTGAAAATTTTAGGTAACCCTCTTCAAATCTTCAATGGTTCCTAAATACTGAACTAAAGTAATTTATATGCCATTAAAATAAATCCTGTCATGTAAATAAACTCTAAAGTCCATTAAGTTGCATCATTACAGTTGCTACATTAACCTTATCTGTCTGTGAAAAACCAGAACAAGGTTCCCAAATGCGAATGATGGCCACTACATAGCACATCAGTTATTGTGATGAAGAGAAGGGTGGAGGATGGTGGACACTGCATACCAAGGAGAAGTCATATTACATTAGCAGCAACCCAATGCGTATTTTATAAAGTGGTTTCATATGAAGTTGCCGGGTAGCCAGCTATGCTCACTCAATTAGCTAAGTAACTCACAGGTGGCACATGGGCCACTGTGTGCTTTATCAAGATCACCAATTTCTACATCACTCTTTGGGATGACTAGAACAATTCAAATCTTGAATGTTACATCTGAAAATGCCAAGTTCTTTGATATACCTGTCTCATGTAAAATTAACTTTATGAAATAACTTGGAAAAACACCTAATAAAATAACTGCACATAAAAAGATGTAATAAAAGATTGTCCTTTCACTCATTTAATGGATACTACATTAAACATTAGGAAATAGTATTAAGACCCACAGAAAATTTCGTTTTCCCTATTATTTGTCATTTTGGGTACCATTTTTTTAAAAAATCGAGGAATACAGGAAATCAGGTTCTTATAGTTACTTGTCCATCATACTTTACACTTTCACAATAAGTAAATAAGTAAATAAACAAATGTAAACTACTGTTTAACATATTCCTACCTTTGCCTACGGTGATACCCTGCCTCCAACAAAGCCCTCAGTGTGGGAAACCTCTATTTCCCCCACACTCCTTTCTCAGTCTTCCCATCATTAGTAGTACATACTTCCATTAGAATACTTAGGATACTGTATTATAATTGAACTAGAGGCCCAGTGCATGAAATTCATGCATGGGTAGGGTCCCGAGGCCTGACCGATGATCAGGGCCAATCGGGGCCTTCTGGCTGCCGGGTCGGGGCCTCCCTTCATTCTACGCCACCCCCTGGTGGTCAGCGCATGTCATAGCTAGCGATCGGTCTCCTAGTCAAACTCCCACAGCGACAATTTGCATATTAGGCTTTTATATGTAGAGATATTAATATATGCTTCCCAACTGAACTCTAGCAGAAATCATGCTTTTTTACATAGTTTTGAAGCATTATCTCCTTATCCAGGCCCTAGTATACGGCTGATAACTTCCTTAAATATAGTACCAGGTAAAGACATCTCATACCTAATTCTGTGTTTGTGCCATAGATGTTTGCAGTAAAGTTCTTTGTCACCACTAGGTTTTGATATGAGGCCATTTCTCACCTCTGTCCTTTACCACACCAAACTATAACCACATTTAGTCAAACATTCAGTTCTTTGCTAATTTCCAGTTAGCCCTGATCTATGCGTTCCCCCTTCACAAACCTCCTGGATTAGATCAGTAAGGAATGGCTGCTGGCAGCTGTTGGTCATTCAATTTTGCTACCACTAAAGCATGTGAATATTTCATTGTTTAGGCATTGCAGAGACTTTCGGCAAACATTTACTCTGGGTTCTTGGATTAGAAGAACATTTGTGGTAGACAAAAGGTAAATAATAAACCACAATGCTACTCAACCAGTGACCTAAAAGCCTTTTGACATCTGACTCTATTGCTTACTAAATCACTGTACATATAAACAAAGCTCAAAACCTTTGTTTCTACTACAAATTATATTTCTAAAACATAGTCCTTCAGTTATTTGGTTTATTTAAAATAAGCTAAAGTAAGTCATACTAGTTCAATGGCTTGCAAACTAACGTAAAAAGTATCATAATATGAATTCATCTGTTACTGACTTACTAAACACAGCTGGATATGTCACTTAATATAAGCTGTCAGAACTTTGGTTTCCTCCTGTATAAGCCTATTATACAAATATCAACTATAATGGAGCAATATCCATGAATCTTCAGTTCCGTGTGCCAGAAACAAAAACAAATTCAATATATTCAAAGGCACTTGCTGAATGCCTTGTACAGTCAGGCACTATGCTGGGCACATGGGAGAGTGTGAATAAGAGTCATCACTGCTTGCCAGAGGTTTAAGATCTAGTGGGAGAAACCAAAACAAACAAGCAATATGCAATGTACAATTAGTTCACTGAAGACAGAGACTGAGTCTGATTCATCAGCCCCCTCTCTGATATGCCAAATAGCTGATATAGGTGTAACAAACACATTGAAAGAATAAACTAGTCAATCAATTCATTGATCAACTTATCAAACTACAATAATTGCTCTAATAATATTAGGGCAAAATGATGCAGTGAATGAAGGGATTAATTTGGTGAACCTCACAAAGCCTCATGGAAAGGAGGGCCTGAGTAAGGCCTTGAAGAATGAGTTCAGTTTAAGCAAGCTGAGATAGAATGGGGAAGATTAGAGAAAGAGTAAGAGAAATTCTTCCTCACTAAAACAACAGAACCCAACACTATCTCCTCAGTCTCACTTTCTCCTGCAGTCCATTCACTTTGATAATGACTGTCACCATTTCATTGTCACCAAGAAGTGTGTTGATTCCCTTGTCAAAATTCAATAGGCACTTGGTAAATATTTATTCAATGAATGACTCATTCATTGAACAGTGGAAGTGCAGGAAAACAACAATAAAATCTTCTTTTGGTTCTCTTCAGTACAGTTGGTAACATTTAAATTTTTAATATGCCAAGGTTAAAAATAACTAAGCAGAGAATATCACGAATATAATTTAATAAAAAGTCCAACGTACGCAGTTTTCTAATCTATCTTCATATAGTTAGTTGGAGTTGTATCAGGCCACTCAAATTCCTAATATAGCTACATCCCTAACCCCAAAGGATCTCTACAATTTCCCAAAGTTCTTACCCTCTATCTCCTAAGGCTGCTTCGGTGTAAAGTGACTACTTGATGATGCACCAAGCAAGAGCTAACTGGAATATTTTGACAGGACTTAGAGCATTCTCCTCCTATTCAACTCCTTTTCTTCTCTAAGCTATCTGGCAAAACTAGGATGGATTCAATGGCTCTCCCTGACCTCCCCCTAACCCAGTTCAGAAATGGCCTTTTATCCTAGTAGAGGACCGAAGGAATAACAGCAGCACTCCATCAAAAAATGTAACCAAATAATTAAACAATTCATACCTTCACTGAAGACTTAAAGACAGTCTACTACAATTCACACAACCTCAGGCAGATAAAAAAGAGCACCTCTAACTTATCTGCTCTTAAAAAGTCAGGAAAGGAAAATGTTTTCCCAATTGTGAAATTCACCAAGGGAACTACGCCCTCTTATCTAACTTTACATTGTTAAATTTTTAGTCCTTTAATAATAAAGTGAAACCCTTTTAATGTTTTTCAGGAAAAACAGTAAGGAAATGTTTTGAGCACTGTAAAAAATTAAATGTGAGAAAAATGCTTTGGCACTTACCAATATTTTCATATCTCTAGGGAAATGTTAAATCCAGGAACCTGATAAATGGATTTCACTATGTCACATTTTAATAACATTTTGTAACTTTTATAAGATAAGTTTCTTTTTTACCTTTACTGCTGCTGCCAATATTTTTCTCTCACAGCTCTCTATTTCTATAGTCTTCTCACTTTATTTCTTTCTCTTGCCTTCTTTCTTGTTATTTCATTCTAATAAATTTCAGCCATAAAAGAGTATTTCCATATTGACCATGTGTATGAATTCTTATATCTAATTCCAAAACAAAGATATGTTAAGAAAGCAATTCCCAAAATATACTTCCATATTATTTTTAAAAAGAGGTAATATTTGGGAAATATTTGGTTAAATAAA